TTCGCAACTGTACAGTAAGGTCGAACGTACCGCTGTATTGTACACTCTACCCTTCAGGGAGAGAGTGATGTCGCGCTGCAACCATAAGTGTCGAAGGTTAGCAAAAGCGCCTCGAGCTTTTGCTTTACAATTCGTTAGCTCATCCTCAATCCCACGACCGCTGATACAACTTCCCAAGTAGTTGAATTTTGAACGACTTCTAGCTGATCCCCACCAAGGGTCAGCGCAGGAGGCGGTTCAGGCTAATTTCGGAGGAACACTTTGCACTTCGAGGGTGCGAAGGAAATTTTGAAATAACGGACAGCCAGTGCAGCTTGGCACGTCTGGGAGCTGTCACAGATTAAGGCAATATCGTCAGTGTGCTCCGAGTCAATAAGTCTTTCACTGGGAAGCAGATGCACACCTACTAAGTCGTGTCCTGTGAACGCGATTTCCGAGACTTCGTCAAGAGTGAAATTGTAGAGGAAAGGTGACAGTGGGCATCCATGCTTTACACCGCTGGAGATATTGAAGAGCAATGACAGCTGGCCGTAAGCCCTCACTCTGCCCGTGCTACGAGCACATAATGCTCGGATAATATTTACATATTTCTCGGGCACACCTTTCGTGACCAGACAGTCCTAAAGGGGACGTCTATCTACCGAATCGAATGCACCTTTGATATCGAAGAACACGACAACGGTCGGCCGCCAAAATAGGTGACGGTGCCCCAACAACTGACGTAAAGTGAAGATGTGGTCAATGCAGCCACGATCTTGACGAAACCCGCTTGCTCTTCACGAGTCTGGCTTTCAGGAGGACCAGTCAGTCTGTGAAGGATTATAGAGGAAAGCAATTTGGAGGCGATGGAGAGTAGGCTGATTCCTGGTTGCCGCATTCCGATCGTGAGCCTCCCTTGAAAGTTTGGACTATGCCGGAGCAGTTGCAGTCGTTTTGGACAGTTTCCTGCTCCCACAGTTTCACTAGTAACTCTTGTAAATCATCCAGAAGAGCAGGTCCCCGAATTTTAAGAGGACTGGAGGAAGATGATCTGATGGTCTGCACGCCTAGCTTGCAATCATAAGGTCACCGGTTCGAATCGGCGTAGGGGTAGACATTTACGCGGTATACTCAGCTCACGCGCGACTGGTAGTGGTTGTGCGGCAGCGAAGCTCAGTTACGGCGTACAGCTAGTACATTATTTTATTATATTTTCTAACCTAGAAGAGAACCGTACGTACAGCAATCAAACACCCGTCGCATTTAATCCGGCCCCGTAGATAATCAAACAAATTAGGTGGTAAGATGTGGTAGAAAAGAAAAAATGTGTCACTATTATGACGAAATCCTGTGACAAGTACGTCTGTGGTGGATCACCGAAGGATTCAAAGCATGCACCTACGGTAAATTCCACTCAAACGATAAATGAGAAGACCGAGTGATGGAGACAGATGAGAAGAGATGGTGCGCAAAACTGAAGCGCATGAAACACGCACGTATGTCAAAGGTGACAACACCCTGTGAGTGACGTGTAGCTCCACAAAACATATGGTCAAAGCGGGATGACCCGGTATCAGCATCACATCAGCTTTCAGCCTATACGCATAACCAGTTGCATAAACATCAGTCAACAGACAATGAAATACCACACTCCTCGTCCAACTTGTCTCCATCGTGTTCACCAGTAGTGCTCGGCGCCCCACATCCCACTGAAAGTCATGGACCCGTCAGACAGTGCACATCATCACCTGGACACAACAGGCCGCAGTGTCCAACGCGACGAAGTGACTAGCAGTGATGCATCAGATATCAGTCGTCAAAACCCATCCTTTCCGCATTGCATTTGCCAGATAGTGTTTTAAGATATAATTGGAAAACGATGAACACCTTACAGTGTTACGCAATACTCCCCATTTCAATCCAATTCATCCACGAAGCGAACTTTAAAATGCACACTGTCGTTAAGCTATTCCGGTAAGCGAAGTAAATGGCAAAAATAAACGCCAATGACTCGCCTGAACAAGCAGCATAACCACCCGAGGTTATTAACGAAACGCGACTATAGAAAATAGGGAGCGTTCAATAATCGTTCACTGTCGGAAAGGATCAAAAGTGAAGTGCAGCTTTATGAAATAACCAGTCCGGTTGCAAGACGATCGAGATGCACAAGGAATGGAGCGGGATCAAGAAAGCAGTGGTGTCAGCATATCATATCATATCATGGACATATATCTCACATAAGAGAGAACAAAGTTGAGCAGACAAGCTTCTACACGCAAGATCAAAACTACCAGAGCAAGGTTTCGAAATTGTACGTAGGCTAGGCTTGTGGGAATTTGCGGAAGCGTAAAACCACAAGGCAGGAACCCGGTGACAACGATGATGTTATAGAGAAAGACAACAGTAACACTCCGGCAACTCCAGCCAAGATACCGATTCGAAGCGACCCCTAAGGGAAAGGTACGGAGGCGTCGACTGCTCCACACACGAATCCGAATCGGTGACTGAAGGTTAAAATGCCTTACACTAACCGGCCACCGTTCAACAGTTAAAGTGTGCAGATTTGTTTTGGAATTTCACAGTCCCATTCCATTTACTGTGGCCAGATCACCCAGCTAGTTTCACAGGTCACGCGATGTAGCTGACGGTGGTTCGCTGACATGTGCGAAATATGGAGTTCGCTTGGAAAGAACTGGTCTAGTGACCACATTCCCCTGGAGCGCAGCCAAGTGAATGCTCTGCTCGGAAAACTAAAACAAGCAGTCACTTTTCAGTTCCTCGCTTTCAACCCTTCACATGGGTACCGTGGCGACCCTCTTGGTTTGGGGTGAGAGAAAGCTCAGATATTGCGAAGCTGTTGTTCGTCGACATTGATGTGGAAGTGCAGACTATTTTTGTGGACAGATGACGTCAGTTCAATAAGGTGTATGCAGATGATCACTCTGAGGAGTCTTACCTAACATTGTTGAGCTAGAGCTTGCCTCCAGTGACTTCTAAGACTTTGCAAATCAACCCACAAAATATTGATCAAAAGTCAAGTCCAAACAGCTAGATAATTATGAAACCGAACACCGAACCTGTAGGTGTAGGCCAAAGCTCGGGTTTTCAATATGCTGGAACTTTGTAAGATACAAAATGATGTATAGAATCAAAAGTTCAGGTTTTGCTGTCAAACTGTAGCACCATTCAAAGGGACTTCCTTTGGAACGAAAAATCTCTTTGTTGTAACAACGACCACCATTTCGTCCGCGAGGCATCGTACTCTTGGAGGCTGGACGGTCGAATGAGTCAATTATGGCCAATGCCCGATCACGCCGAGAGTGAGTGCGTTGACATCCCCAAGGACACACAAGATCAAATCATGTAAAAGATATTAACGTGACGTCATCTAGCATATCCCGATGATGCTGTACCATATTTCGTACAAAACAGTTGAGAGCCAAAGCATATAGGCTAGTGAATAGATTTTATATAATTGCACAAACGCACTCAATCGTGGGCTATAGTACATACCGCTCAAATGCACAACTCTACCTTTATATGCTAAGTCTATCTCTTAGTGATAATCGCTCCGTAGGTCAATGTGGCGGTACGGCAACGAAGCATCAATTCAAATGCCTGATGTACTTCTGTTCTCGTTGTTAGTTGTAATAACGTATCTGCAACGCTGTAGTCGGATGCAGTGTTACAGGAAATGTGAGTATTCCCTTTAACAAGCTGGTTTTGCAACGTCAGGTAAAGTGGCTCGGTCAAGTCCAACACATTTCAGCTGAACATTTGCCCAATCGCGCGTTCTTCGCTAGTGGAGGATTTGGCTAGAATAGACCACGTGGCGGCAAGCCGTCCATTTGGCGACAGCATGTGAAATCGTGGACTTCATACCTTGCTACCGTTGGACACACGCGTCTGCTTGGCTGGGGACCAAAGGACGAGTGCCGCGAGTCTAAGCAATTCGAAAAATGGCGTGCAATCGAAACCAGTGGAAGAACTGTGTACATACTTGTTTATATTCGGATACTTTATGCTTCAAAATTTGAAAAAGACAAAATGAAAAATGACGCGTAAAAAATGATGAAAAATGCTTCTGCTTTTCTCTTATTGCAGCCCAATAGCTGAAGTGCGCTGCTCACCTTCAGCTAATGTGCGATGATGAAGATGCGGTGGTTAAACCACTCTTCTAGTGATTTGCATGGTTTTGTTTGGTTCTGTTAATACATACATACATCCTCAGAGTGCAAGCACAGGAACTGCGGGAAAACAACTATCCAGCGCACCACAAGCGATTGAAGTAACATCGCATCGTGTCCAAGTAAGTTGACATTTTACGATCGCGCCACCGACGTGACGGTAAATTCGGACAGGAAGCGAGTGATTCCCAGACCAGCGATACTAGAATGACTTCAGCTGCGACAGCAACACACAGTTACACGTAATAATTATTATTATGTATCCGTCAGATAAAACACCTTTCTGGTTGAAGACAAAGGGAGTGCTAGTGCGATAAAGTTAAACAGTGTAATTGAAACCATGTGTGAAGTTGATAAAAATGGGGTCAGCAATACGCCGGTACGCAGTATCGACGCTTTGCTGCCGCGCAACCATCCCTGGTCGCATGCGGGCTAAGGATACTACGAGGGTCATCCTGCCCCTACGCAAGATCGAGTTGCATTGGAGTTGCATTGAAAATACTCTGAAACACTGGTAGCTCGGATTGGTTGTTCAGCCGTTGATGGGCTCACCGGGATTGAGTAAATGGTCGCATACGTTTTGCTACCATGAGAAGCGGCATCGTCTGCGCAGTGAGGCGCGATGAGCAATCTCACTGATTATTGGGTGAGATTGACCATCGCGCATTAGTGCACAGAGGATGCCACCTCGTATGGTGGTGAAACTGATGCGAGCATTTGAGCAAGCTCAGTAAACCCATAAACAGCCGAGAGTTGCCCTTATTGCACGATCCGTGGTGTTATAATGCATGTCGTAAAACGATAAGCTAATCACATCTCCCGTTTCATACTTACTTGAATGAACAGTCCGGATGTGTATCTTTAAATTGAACTTCTGAGCAAAAGGTTTATTACAGACTTCACACACATAGCGGCGTTTATCTGGATAAGGAAATAGAAGGTGAACAAGTACAGATGAATCCCATGGGAATAGAGACACGGAATGGCGAATAAAATGTTACAGCAGGTGTACACCAACCAAAGTATATGATACATAGTAAAGTTAAGGATTCGCAACGTACAATAACCGTTGTAAGCGTGAAAATTAATGCATAATGTGAGGGATAGAGATGAATAATAGCGTAAGTGGTAAACGTCTGTTAGCAACGAGGACTTGATGCAAATAATGTGCGTACGACGTAGTTTTAAACATCGCTCTTTGCTCTCTGATCCGAAATGCGTAAGGTGAAAACACGTCTCGTTAGAACAATAACAGCATCTCATAGGCAACGCAATCGGTGGAACTACGTAGAGGAATAACCAATGCCCCTCCGCCCGACAACAGTGTCTAATCGAGTCGCTTCCTGTTCATCCTTCAGATTCATCCAATACGCCATCCCAAAAACATCTCCTGACCGCCTAAACACCGCACTTCACTCCGCAAAGGGTTGTTATGGATAGCCACATCCAGTGATTGTGTGCCGCTGTCGCAGCACCAGTTGTGCGACTATACGTCTCCTTAAATCTAAGCAGCATGATATGTGATGGGAACATGTATTATTGCAGAGTTCTGGACAGTTGCCTTGCAATTCTATCCATATGTAGTGGTGGGAAAAAGTTGGCTTGGTAGCGGGAAGTGAAATTACTGGCTACGAAACTGAGGGTTATTGATCCGTCTCGCCTTCCTGGCTGTACTCCGCATGACCCGCTTTGTGCCTGACTCGAGACGTTGCAGGACATGGCTCGCAGTCGCGGCCATTGATGCGGATTTACCTGTGCGCTTAGTGATAGCCTAAGAATACTGTTTCACTGTTCCATGCAGATGAAACAGTGCCTCGTCTGTAAAGATGACAGAATGTATATCCCCATGATCTAAAAACCAGCGGCAAACTTCATGCCGCTTCTTCGGATCGCAGAGGTTTAAAACCTGGAGTTGTAGTGCACTGAGTTTACGAACTTTTTGTTATCTTGATATCTGTTGAAACGCGTATCGCGTCGTGTCGCAATACTGTGCGATCCGATGAGTGCTGAGATCAGGACATTCTGATACTTCACTCATCACAGCGCAAGCTGAACAGTCGTCCGTGGTGACGCGAGGCGGTCCAGTGTTCTTCATGTCGCCCACGCTCCCAGTTTGCTCGAACTTCCTCACTAGTTTAAGCACGTACCGGGCGATGACGGGACGTATTCCTGCGATCATAACATTGTACCTACACGTAGCTGCTGCAGCGCTTAAACCGCAATTACCATGCAGCCGAAGAATAAGTCTGCGCTGATTAACAGGCACGCTACGTGATCCCTATTGTAAATAAGGAGCTGACAGGTGTCTGTTCCTGCTTCATTACCTGAGGCAGTGATTCAATGACAAAGTGACACGGTCTCCGCTGGCTAATATCTCCCCCACCTAAACTAAAACATCCAGTTCGCCGAGATACCATCACGTGCGCACATTCACGCTGCACTTGCGGTAGCACGTTTCATGTTGCCAAGCTGACTTGGCTGGGTACACGGCTGTTTCGCCTTGTCCAGCGAAACATACCCATAGCCATCGATCGCTCCAGTGCCTATGTTTGGCCATGATCTTCGGCACTCGGAGCGAAGTTAGCTGGAGCTGACGATTGCTAGACAGCGTCATGTCCGTACTCATCTCCCTCGACGACAGAAAATGCTAATGTGGCCTGCCGACCTGTTCCGCATCAGCATTACGTTTGCACTCAGCTGATTCCTGAACGCAATCACCAGCCTGCCGAGGATGCCACATATCCTCACCACTAAGGTTAGAGAGAAATTGGTGGGTTTGTGCGCGCACACCTACGCAGTACGCAGTTTGTGCAAGTCCGCTAAACATCGGATGGCTAGTGAATGGCGGAGAGAACTATCGTAAATGACCAGCATACACCATAAAGGAGTCACGGTGGGTCCACGAACCGCGCTTCTCATTCTGGAGTGCTGTCATCGGTCCTCTTCCGTCAGACTTACTGTAGATACTAAGTTTCACGTGAAACAAGTGGTAATCCAGCTCACTATCAACATCTACTTATAAGCTGAGCTAAGCGTTTCGAACCTATCGACTAATTCGTCACCAACACCACTGAATTTATTTTCAACGATCCACCGCAACTCTGGTGTGTGTGGACGCATCTCCGCCATATGAAATTTTGACTGTCAAGGAGCTTCGCATTCCGAAGCGTCACAGAGCCCGTGGCAGAGGTAAACTCCATCTGGCACATTCCAAAAATGGGACGCTTATCTCCAATCGTGAGTGTGTCCCTTTCCCCAGTAAATCTGGATGACGAAAGTCGTCCAAGCCAATTGTAGGGTAACGGCCGCCGCACCAGCATAGACACTATACACGAACGAAATGTACCAACTGCCCGTGGATTAGCGATATCATGTTGGCATAAAAAATATTCATCGGCCAGATATGACGAGCGTTTTAATGGGGCATACCAAGGACGTATATGCGAACGGCAAGTTTCGCACTTATCGGATGCATCCATAATTAAATCACGACTTGTTAAATACTCTAGCCACTACAAAATTTCGGTCTACCAACAACCGATGTCTTATTGAACCCAGTCGTCTGAGTAGATCACTAGAGTTTCTAATCTAGTGGGTGTGTATAGTAATGAAATCACTATTCCTCGCGTGGTAATTCCGGAATCTCGGGCTGAGTGCGGGTACACGGCGACCTTTCGTCCATCTTTAATGGTATGCGATAGAGCTTCTGTTCACTTTTAATATGAACATTTCTGAGTACACTGAAAGCTTTGAGCACAGTGGCGTCACGATTATCCCAGGAAAACGACTTCGTGGACTGCAGTATGCAACAACATGGTTGTAGTTTGTCGTCCTTAGCATGCCAATCAAAAGATGCTACGCAGGTTGGACATGTTTGCTTCCAAGTTCAGAATGGCCTCCAACTTATCGAGATGCAAGGTCTTCCAGGAGAGTGGTCTCCGAGAACTCGTCTGAAGTGGCTAAAAAGATTGTTTTGGGAGCATCTTTCGTAGTAACAACTCAGCGGATGAAGTTTCGTTGCGAAGTTCTGAAGCTTGGGTTGCTTTCGTCAATCTCCATCACGTTTGGCGATGAAGTTATCGCAGCCGCTATCAGAAAAGCCGGAGATACATCGTTAAAATAGAATTTGGCTTTCCTCTGCAGCCTGGTAAAACAAAAATATGCGCAGTGTCGGTTTTTGATAAAGCCCACATTAGGAGCATTGCCAGCGTACGATGACAACGATGTACTGGTGGTGATGGCGTATTTCAGTTGAGTTTTAAGTCGAACACACTACCGACCGCCCAGTTCCATATTCTCGACAGCACATGCTTCGATGATTTGGGCACGTGCCTTGAAGATCAGCAACGTAGTTACCTGGCCCTGTCGTTAGCTAAGGTGTGAAAGCAATAACCTCAATTACCCATAGTTAGGCGCGTTTAAAGCGAAGTATGGGGACTGTGGCGACTTGAAAGCTGATTTCCAGCTTCTATGCATAGTATACTTATGGTTTGGTTGTATGAGTGCCCCTCACCATATGTCCAAATTTGTTTGCACCTGCCAGGTGAGTCGGTGTACTGACGCCTGCTCCTACTTGTTTTGGCCGTTTAAGTTTCATTGTGGCCCTCATGAAGAGAGGCTACTGTGTTTCACTTTATTCGTCTTCCGATATGGGTATGCAGACTACATTCAGACTTACATTTAGTAGACCCGTAAATCGGTGTTTAGCAAGCGTACCTGAACAAGTTCTGGCTACCTAATTTCTAAGAGTTATTTTATTTAAATGACTTTTAGTGTGTACTCGTTGTCTAGCCGCATCATTTATGCTGCAATTCGATATCGTTTGTGCTGTACCAATCTCATATATTCATCGTTGACAGTTCACGGAGGATATGCACTAAGTCTACCTGTCTTTGAGTTGATGGTGCACAACCAAACTACACGGTTTGCTATTTTCGGCGTGGAGACCTTATAAGCGACTAATCGTGATGCAAGCAGCCAGTTACACACCCAATAACGGTGGTAGTGCTGCTGTAGGGCACTGGTCTTACCCACAAGAGAAAGAAACGATGATGCTGACAATTTTAAAAAAAACTATCACACAGCACAAGGACTCGACTGAAACTGCCCAGCGACCTAAGCAGAAAGATCGCATGTCTGAGGAAATTTAACGCACTGGGGGGCCCGAATTATTGTATGAATCTGGCCTTAATCGGCCGTGAATTGTTGCAATCGGACATACACATCAAGCAGAAATAAGTGACTTCAGCAGCACATCATCTGTACTGTCAAACGAATATCATAACGACCCGGACGTGTTGAACCGGGCTGAACACATGGGACAGGGAAAGTGCGGTACTTCAACACGGATTAACAGAACTAGAAGTTATGAAGCAGGATACACCGCGACGGGGAGTTAGCCACATTTTTGTCCCTTATCATTGCAGCCTGACTACGCCCAAGTTCCATATGCCCCGGTAGTGTGTCCACGACTCACTCTTGGTCTCAAATCTCCAGTTGCATCGTATAACTGCATCAGCACCGTCACCAAAACGGCAACCGCGCCAGCGGTCACTGCTCAGCCCCAATCGTGCTGGCATGGCATCAGCAGCACGCAGATACGCCGTACCGACGCTTCGCTGCCGTGCAACCACCAACAGTCGCATGTGGGTTAAGGATAGTGCGAGGGTTGCCCGGTCCTAACGCAGGCTCGAACTCGCGCCCTCGGATTACAAGACAGGCTTGTAACCCTTAAGGGTACGGGCAGTGCTGGGCACGGCTCGATCCTCTTGGTGAAACCGAAATCCCAGCATTGCAGCAGTGATAACGCATCCGAGTGCAACAAGACAAGTAGACCGTTTTATAACGATGATCGGTGCTTTTGCTTTACTCTCTTCACAATACAGACGAAGAAATTCGTAACATCCCAAGAAATGTGCATAACTAGCAGTTGTGGCCCGCGCACATCCTGTGTGCTGCAAACGGCTCGTCGATCAATCCACACGGACAGCGTAAAATAAATCGGTTGCCGCCGTGCCTATCTGGTAGAGACTCTGATTGCAAGCTTTTCACGCGAGGAATGTTTGAGCTTCCGAATACGGGAAATCATTTTTCGTTGTTGACTCGGCCATCTTACCTGGCCTTAGTGTCTCCAGAATTTAAGTGATCCTATATGATCCTGAACCGCGTTGGTTCAAACACTTCAGACATTTTGCTGATTTCGTTAGCTTCGACAACTATGCAGTCCCACACCGATCTTCACCGAGAAGCTTAGGAAATTCTAGTTCTCCGCAAGCGAGCGCATCGTTCAGTTCCCCGGTATGACGAAATAGTCGGGTTATAGGCGACATCCGTTTTCAGAGGTCTCTATAAACACCTACAGAAAACTATTTGGCGACGCGTAAGATATCGCCGATATAGTAACTATACTTCACTCTCTGTGGCAGTACAAATCGTGCAAAAGTGTCACGTGTTACATATATTGATGTGTAGGCACATGTGTGTACCGTTGACTAATACCTTGTTCGGAAGCAGGTGCCCGCACTTCCTCCGTCGCAGATCCGCAACCTTCGTCCAATGGGTTCACGGGAGCGTCTTGTTCAATTTTGAATGGCCAATCTGGAGTATAACACGCTTTGGAATCTAGTGCGTCGTTGACTCGAGGATCCACAGAGACACCGATGTTCTCTCCGAATAGGGAGGCCGGTAACGGCTGTGCCAATGTAAGGTCGGACTTCGGTCGCAGAATGCAAGGCTCCAACGGTTGACGCAGCTGTGGGCTCTGTCCAGCATCGTCCTGACAAGTAAAAACCCGGGTTACATAAATAACTTAAGGGCTCAGAAGCGCCTCTAACTATTAAGCGACTATGCGCCAGAGCACAAATCAAAAACAGAATGTATTATAAAAAAGCGAATTCAAGGACTAGTTTCACACTAGAGTGGGTAGTGGCCAATTCATTCAATCCAAATGAACAACTGGATCGGATTGATATGGTTTATCAAGACACCTTACAAGCCTAATACCTGCTTCCGATGCCGGCAGAACACACGGACGGCGGGGTCCGTTACTCCAGTAAAAGTAAATCGCTACCCAAATTAACGACTGCAGAAGAGTAGGTCGCGCGTAAGCCTTGAAAATAAAAGTAGCTCACTTCATCACGAATCTTCGTTGAGCCACAAAATGTAAGATACAAGGTGATGCAATATTTCCTACATCGAATTAGTCTGACAACCGTACCTGAAATGTAACGAATAACCATCCACAATGAACTAGAGTCCATTTTACGAATGTCGCGTTAAAAAGCACCATATGTATAAAAACGGATAGAGTGGTGATGGCACGCTTGCTGTTATGCTACACCGACAAGAAGCCAAATGGGACGTGGAAGTGCGGATGAAGCCGTTCGAGGGAATACCTCGCATGGAAGCAGATCCCCGGGAATCGGTGCCACGGATAACCGGGTTAATTCTATTGCGCTTTTTCCATTAAGCACCTTCAGCCTGCTTTTAAACTCTCATTTTTTTACCTTTTCTACCTAGTGAACTCCCCATAAATCTGATTTTGAACTCTACAGGAATATCTGAAATAACAGGTGCACTTTGAGATCATATTGTACCATATGATCAGTTCGAGTAGTTGGACTGTAATTCGCACAGTCGAGAAATGTACATTCTCATACGTCAGCTATTGTTTCGCCGATAGGAAAGCTGGTCACCGGTTAATTAGACTGCTTTCACAGCGTTCGACCCCACGTTAAAAGCGTTTTGATAAACCATGGAATTTCAACGCACGCCGCCTGTTTAGGAGCATCATTAATTACATCAGTAATTTGCAATGAAGCATTGCCACCACACAATCAGGAATCAGCTGATGTGCCTTATTAATGAGGAAAGTGGAGAAAGATAAGATCAAGGCACTGAGCAAAAACTCGGGATCGATCGCCGATTTTCACGGCCACAAGAAACTGACTACCGCAGGAAAGTAAGGCGGGAGTAACGGGATAGCAACCTTGCGACTTTCAGTGGACTGCATTATAAGCATAGTTCGATGCGAATTTAGACCAGACTTGACATGGAAACCTTAGAACCGATGTACCTTGCATGTGTTTACTTTGATGTTTTTGGAGTTAGAGGTAGATCTAAACTTTCCTAGTGACCGTAAGCACCACTTGCTAGGCTGTCTGATGAAGGGTGTTTGGAAACGAGTCATTTAGTTATCAATATTTTGTGGTTAATTCACTTCTAGTTTCCCAACCCAAATACACCATTGTCATTTAACTTCATCGTAGATCCCAACACGGAGGGTTTCTTTTAAAAATCTCACGATGCAAGTATTGAAGTAATGCCTGATGGAAAACCAGTTGGTCTTGATCATGCGAACGATATCGTCTTGCTGATTCGTCACAGCTAGACTTAGCCAGACAGACACCACACATCTAGGAAAGGGCAGGATATGTGGTTGCTGTCTGGCTGCGACGAATCTTCTCGAAATATCCTTACTACTGATACTGTGGCAGTCCAGGCAACCCTGAATAAACTGTAGAGTGGAGCCATCATTTGACAGATGCTTCGTACCCCATAGTTCAAGGTTGTTGCAGGATTACAATGCATCTGATGACCCCTTGATCCTTGATAGCGTGCGACTCGAGGTAGGTAATCATTTCATCTATCTTGGCAGCCGCATCAACAGCAACGGACTTGTGACTGCCGGTGGTGTCTTTACCGGCCTTTTGGCTTAGTGATGATTCTCACTGTTCCAGTTCTCGTAATGGGTCAAGTTGTCCCCTATGGGGTACGCGGTCGAAGGTTTTGAGCTGCCCAGTGTGTTCAATTAAGCTGATCTCGGCGCCGCTCACACTGATTTCACAGAGGTAACACTGGAAGGTCGCAAATATGCGGTTCCGTATATAACGGCTAATATGTCGTTTCCTCCGAGTTTGAATCGACGACATATTTGTAAAGCTGTTCAGCGTTTTTGTTGGGCGCCACCTAGCTTGCTTGCTCTGCCACCTCCCGGAGAAGCTGAAAGGTTGCATGAATGTACACAAAGTTGGCCCACTGGTCAAAGAGACAGACGCACTGCGAGCGCCTACTTACCTAGCGATGTAATCATTACTTAAAGTAGGATTGGTGATCTGAATCTCATCTCATTTTTGCCAAGAAGCTTGGCCCAGACTTGTTTGGAAAGTGCGTTACGCCAGGTTAACTTGCCTCCGATCTCTGATAGGATTGGGACCGAGACCCGTTCACAGCGCCGAGTCATTGAGTGCTGGATCTTTCTTTCAAGAGTGCTGGCCGTAAACCCACGGTTCAGCAGAGCCACCAATATTCCCTGACCGATGTACTCAGCAGCAACCTACCACAAGACATTGATGGACACTGGACGTTCACGCAGAGAACCATGATCTCTTCCAATCAGTTACTCCGTGGTCTTGCTGAGCACTCTATGAAGGCCTGGATCGCCGCGCCCTCTTTGGATTTATTCGACTGACGCAGAAGTATCCCGGCTGAGTCAGGTAACGATAAAATGTGCCGTTCCGTCGGAAGTTCAAACATAGCCTACGTAGTGATCGTGAAGCCTGATAGTGTCAGCGTCCTTCGAAATTAGGCTGCTGCCTTATTTGGCAATACTCGCAACCTCTTCCGCCTCATTCGATTCAATGGCCACAGGAAATATGGTGTAGATGAGACGAGTTGCGAAGAGGATGGTTCGCCGATTACCAGCCTACAGAGAGATTACAGGAATGGGATGAACATTTTCATCTTCAGTTCAACTGGCCCTCACCATTTACTCCTATGCCCAACAAACCCAGTTGCCCGCTCTGGGTCGTCACAGTTGGTCAGCTCAGCAAAGCGGAAGTTTGCCTTGCGATTCGGTGTCAACTGTCTGTTTTTTACACATCGGTTTCAATCAAGAAGCAAACGGAAATGGAACAGCTTACCGTCCGATGGTTCTATCAGGGTGTGCAGGACAGGCAGTCAGTAACTGACTGAACATGGAGCGATTCAGAAGTTCCATTTTAGACTCGCAAAAAGCTCGGAACGCGTTATAAACTATCTCTAAGATTCATGTAATAGAAAACGCAGGATCAGGTTGAAATGGAGCTGGGACAGTGAGTCAAGTTGTCGGACGCGTTCAGTTCGTAAAGGACTTACAATCGTTCCATGTTGTACTGACCTGGAGATTTCCCTGTCTGTTTGGCTATTATGTGTAAAATAGTATAAAAAATATAGTTTCATGTTGAACCTAGGCAATGTAGGAAGCTTGGGTGTTGGAACGGTGACTACGTGTGTGTGACTACGTGAGTCAACCAGACGAGTCGCTCTTTGCGCACTTCCGGCTTCCCGCCTCGAAACGTGCTTGCGACGTCCGAGCTGGCGACCAAACCTCTTCTCCTAGCTAGAACCTTTTGGGGCGCCTTTCGATAGCCGAATTGAAGATTTGCACAGTAAACGTCTATCTCGCTTATTCGTCTCCTTTCTACGTTTCCCTAAGATGGGGTGAGTCGGAGTTTATAGCGACTGAGCGATTCATCATCATCATCATCATCATCAACAGCAGTACATCAGCCATTTGAACTGATGCTTCGCTGCCATACAACCATGAGGAACTATGAAATAAAGAATAAGAAGAGGGAGAGAAGGGGGACTTACCTGAAAACCTTAATGCCCTAAGCAAACATTCAGGGTCAAGGCGCCTACACCTTGTGTTAACAACATTCCGTCACAAACAGCTGGCTATCGTGCAAAGATAAGGCGGCATCGGCGAGACAGCTTCCTTGCGGCTTTCACTGCCACGCGTCATAATCAGCCATTACCCCGCAGATAACTCAGCACCAAACACACTTTAAACAGACAATCCGATTAGGAGACGGCAGCAGACGCGCCACTGGTGTCTACTGCGAGCCATGTCCTGTAAAGTCTCGAGCCAAGCACATGGTGAGTCACGTGGACTCCAACCCGGAAGGCGAGACGGACCAACGGCACCCAGTTTGGTCGTCAGTGACTTCATTTCCCGCTGCCAAGTCAACTTCTGTCCACCTCGAGCCTTGCGCCATCCGACACCTGGTAGACTGAACAAGGCCCTCCTAGGTAAGCGGTGACCAGGCATGCGTAGCACGTGCCCGAGCCAACGTAACTTATTCAGTGCTATCTGTTGTTCTAGGGAGCTAGCATGATCATCACCACCTAGTACTCGCCTACGCACATCATCGTTGCGGACACGCTGGTGCCATCCGACACCAGCAATGCTTCGCAAACAACGATGATCAAAGACTTGAAGGCGCCTCAGATCTTCAGACCGAAGGGGCCAAGTCTCACTACCATAAAGCAGAACGGCCCTCACTGTGGCCTTGTATACACGGCCTTTCAGACGGAGGGAAACTCCCTTCTGTCGCCAAAGATGACGCAGGTTCAAGAAGGCAGCTCTGGCCTTTGCAATGCGTGAGCTCACGTCAGTTTCTATGCGCCCATCATTGCTGATGCAGCTGCCAAGATAATTAAATTGATCAACCATCTCGAGTTCCTCGTTAGCAAGCGTCAAGGGGTCATCGAGTGGCTGGTGGTCCTGCAGCAACACTTTGCACTTTGAAGGTGCGAAGTGCATACCAAATAATGGGACCACTCTGGATAGGCTATTCAGGGTTGATTGTGCCGCCTCAACATTGTCGAAAACCAAGACGATATCGTCCGCATAATCTAGATCAACTAACCGTTCACCAGGCAGCACTTCAACACCTACATCGTGAGATTCCGCAAGGGAACACTCCATGATAGAATCCACGACGAAATTGAACAAAAACGGGGAAATCGGGCAACCCTGTCGAACGCCACTTGTAGTCGAAAAGCTATCCGATAGGGCACCATAGACCCTGACGCGGCCTCTAGTGTTCGAGTATAGAGCACGAAGGATGTTCACATATTTCGTGGGAACACCTTTTCGCGCAAGTATTTCGAACAGAATCGATCGATCGACTGAATCGAACGCACTCTTGAAATCGAGGAACACAGCTATTGTCGGTCTGCGGTATGCGTGGCGCTGCTCTAGCACCTGCCGCAAAGTAAATATATGGTCTATACAGCCACGTCCTGGGCGAAAACCGGCCTGCTCTTCTCTAATCCGAGATTCCCGTTCTGCAGTGAGACGACGAACGATAATCGAGGCCAGTAATTTTGTCACAACTGGCGTTAGGCTAATACCCCTGTGGTTCGCACAGTCTGTGCGACTGCCCTTTTTGTATATTGCCACTATAATCGATTCGCTCCAATTAGCCGGCACACTCTCTTCGTTCCAGATACGTTCGAATAGGGAGGTCAGTGCTTTGCAGAGGACCTCACCTCCATCCTTAAATAGTGCAGGTGGTAGGGAATCCGGGCCAGCGGCACGAAAACGATTGAGGGCTGTGATCGCGTTTCGGACCTCGGCCTCCGACGGGGGCTCTAAACTAACCGTCCATGGCTCGTCCTGCATCACCTGAGTAGGAAGAGGTCCGGGAGCAGGGGGCCAGCTGAACTGATGTTCAAAGTGCTCAGCCCAACGAGCCATACGGCGCTCATTATTGTGTATCAGCGCACCCGCGCTGTCCCTGATTGTCTCACTGACGCCTGGTTTCCTCGGACCAGTGGTGCGGATTAGCTGGAAGAGCTTCCGGTAATTGCCTACTGCTCCTGCCTCCTCCATTTCTTGAGCCCGACTGGTCCACCAGGCTTCCTTGTCAGCACGTAGGCTCCGCTTTAGTTCACGCCTAATAGCCCGTCTGGTCACATTGTGTTCAGAACCAGCCGGGAGGTGCCTTCTAGCTTCCAAAAGGTTCACGGACCTCTCGGATATCCAGTGACTGGTGCGATGACGACTGATAGTGCCACAAGCAGATGCTCCTGCGTCGTGCATAGCGGCCGAGATCCTATTCCACTGAAGTTCAGTGTCATTAGGACAAGACAGCGAGAGTTCGCTATGCAGTGCTTCTTGATAGGCTTGCCTGACAGAGGGCTGGGACAATTTCTCCGTTGCCAATCGGGGGAGACGCTTTGTGCGCCTTCCGGTAAAGTTCATGGAGAAACGACAGCGCACCAAGGCATGGTCAGAGTCGACACAGGTACTCCAGTACGAGCGGCAATCCAGAATGGAACCGCGCCACCTGTAACTTATGGCTATGTGGTCAATTTGGATCCATCGCTGACCAGCTACAGGTGGACGCCAAGTGGCACTTCGGCGCCCACTGTGTCTAAAAGCAGTGCTAGTAAGAAACAACTGGTGCTCCGCACACAGTTACAGCAGACGCTCGCCGTTGTCAGTCCGTTCGGCGTTAAGTCCATACTTACCACCCAGCTGAGCTTCTGAAGAGCTCAGACGCCCTACTTGTGCGTTCATATCCCCTGCAAGTACTATAATATCTGAACTAGTAGCACTGCGTAACAGCGTGTTCAGTTCGTGATAGAAAGTGTCCTTGACTGCGTTAGAACTGCAGTCCGTGGGAGCATAAGCAGAAATCACAAACAAACAGCGTTTTGTTTTACTTCGCGAATTCACCTTAGCTGATGTCGTCAAACGGGCTGCACATAAACGGCTGTTCACCGGAATCCAATCAACCAACGATGACTCAGCCTTGGAGCTGAGAATGATACCTACACCAGCTTGACCCGTGAGTGCCGCATCGGCGTCTCCGGATGCGTGCAACCAATAACGAGAGGATAAGCCGGGTGCAGTCAATGCAATAACCCCGTTAGGGTCATTAATCCTAGTTTCGGACACACAACACACATCAACACCCAGTGTGTCTAAGGTGCGTGCGAGTGCAGCCTGCTGACCTGTTTGTCTTAGAGTGCGGACGTTGAATGTCGCCATGGTAACGGGGCAGCGTGGCCTTATAAGGAACTTTTGCCGATAGGCGTCCGATAGGTGCTGTGGGATGGTGGCTGCAGATGGTTCTACTCCAGTAGCACTTCGGTTGCTGTCAATTAAGCTGGGAATTATAGAAGGAAGGTTAGTAATGGGGGCCGGGATGGGAGTAAGAGAAAAAGGTGGAAAAGAAAGAAGGGAGGCGCCAGCAGTAGCATGCTTTCGCTTATCCGCCCTGCTGTATGCAGCAGATAAGGCGACCCTTGATAATCTGCGCGACGGCCGATGCAGGATGAAATTTATGTTTGAAGAAAATGTGAGCGATTCCGCTATAATGCTCAATAGAGCTTGAATACAAGTGTCATGTAAAGGGCAGTGAGCAAGGTCAAGAGTGCGCAAATAAAGGGGAAATAAAACACTGGTTTCGCTTGCCTGTGACTTCAAACCAGAGGGAAAGAACAAGTCAAAATTCAACACAAGTAAACGACTGATGGAAATGGAAAAATGGGTTGTAACCTAGGTCACGATGTTGGTCTTCAAAAACAATTGCGTTCCAATATACAAAGAAAAACAACTGTGGTGGTTAGGACAGAACATAGCGAAGATAGCAGACGTACGCTAATCCCCGGCCCAGACGGTACACGTTCTTCTTGTTTACACTCAGGTACTATAGATACTCGAGTACATGTCAAAGAAGATTACTTTCCAAGACTTCCAATTGTTCCATACTACTGGAATACGGATCGAGATCGAGATCCTCCATGGGACAGAAGTTGAACCTCTGTGTAATATGCGTCCGGTTGTGAATTCCGACGAGTTCCGTGTCCAACGTGTAGGTATGACCGTAATAAACCTAGGGAGCTGAAATGGAAAGCAAATACCTGGTAGGTGGCTGAATGCTCATATCACAACCACCTAGTAAGAGATCAAATTAAACCAAAGGTTAAGGTAAAGAGAAGAGGAATAAGCAAAGGCCATCTACGCGAGGTACCTAAGTGATTAGCACAAGGTCACGCTCCGAGCCGCTATATTATCCGCTGGTTGACAGGCGGTTTAATGAAGTCTAGGTAGCAGAGCACTGGAATCTCGATATCGAGGCATCAACAACAGATTCGTAAGACATGACTTTATTCTAACAAAGCCACGCTGTTCCGCTCAAATCAAGTCGTTAATAATTAAGTGCATCTCCGGGAACTTAAGCAGAATATTTATATGAGGATGACTGGCTTATAGCTGAGTGGCGCAGACTTGGAGCCCCTCTTATAAATTGCCACAACAGTCATCCCCTTCCAGTCGTGTGGTAGCCTACCTAGCCGAAGAGAACAGTTGTATAGGTCCAAGAGGGAATACTGTAGAATATCAGCAAGCGGTTTAAAGCAAACGTGAAGGTAAAGAGAAGAGGAATAATCAATGCCGTCTACTCGAGGTACAACGATCACATTACCTTAGGAATCCCCGCAAGGAGCGACCGTCTGACGATAAGCGATTGAAGAATTATCGGACCGCTGCATTCGCAGGCGATGAACAAATAGTCTGATGGTTCATTGGATAGTAGAGAGCAGAAAGGAGATCCTTTGTCAGCTCCACCACCTGTTCATAGCAGGCATGAGTTGGTCATCGCGAGACGGAGATCCGCATAGTGCCGTCGAAGTCGTAGTGGAAGCAGCAAGATTCCAGCATATTCAGTAAGAATCCAACATTGTTTTGAAACATGCCTCCGTTTGTGCGTCAGCGACCAGCTCCGGCAAGCGGTTCCAGTCATTCACCACACGGGTGGATAGAGCAAGTATGGTCCGCATTCGGAGCCCCCTCGGCTTGAATAATTTTCATTTGTGACCTCTAGTCGAAGTTCCAGCGCTGAGATGAAAAAACACCTGTAGCTCTCTTTCAGCTCTCCTTTAAGGATGCGTCGAGTGAAAATTAAATCTCCACGGCAGCTACGGTAATTTAGAGAGATATTCAAACGTTGGAGCCGAAGGGGGTACAGTAGGTCACGCAACTCAAAAACATATTTACAACCGCGCCGTTGGATCTTCTCAATCATGTTACATTTGAACTTGGTGAGAGGATAGGCAGGAAAACCGTATTAAAAAATCGGACGTATGTGTGATGTGAACAGGTCGGAAGAGCACCGGATTCAGGCGGCAGAAGCTTCTTCGTATGGCATGGAACATCCTATAGGCAGCGGCGACTCTTCAAGGTGTCTTGAATTGATCTTAGATTGGAAGACAAGATTATGCTGACGTCTTTCTCATGAGTGGCATATTTTTAGTAAAGAACCGCCAATGTGATAGGCCCCGAGTGATTCAGTCGCGTGAATAGGTAGAACAGAACACTTGTCTTGATTAATAGGCAATCGCCACTGGATCGACCAAAAGTGTAGAAGAGCAAGCGTCTCTTGTAGCCAATCAACATCACTTATGCTAGAGACTTCCAACGACAGCTTCAGATCATCTGCATATATTAGGCAATCCGACTGCAGCACAGACGGCAGGTCCTTAAGTAAGATGTTGAAGAGCTCAGGACCGAAAACAGTCCTGGAGGACACCGCTAGTTAAGAGCACAGAATCATAAGGCGTTCCATTCCCTTGTACTTGCACAGAGCGACCGATCAGGAAATCAGAGATCTAGAAAATGAAATTCCCATTGACGCCGATGCCTCGGGGTTAGGACAAGAGCCGATGATGTGGGACCTTACCAAAAGCTTTGCTAAAGTCGACAGGCACGACATCCAACCGTTTTCCGAGATCTAGTGATTAAACCCACTTCACCTTGGTCACGAGCAAGTTTGTCGTACACGAGCAAGCCTTTCAGAAATCATGCTGGGCACAAAAGAAAAAATTCTGCTCATCGATGTGAAGGTGAAGGGCACGTATCAAATCATTTCCAGTACTTTACATAATACCGATATTAAACAAATCGGACGGTAACAAGCTGAACCCTGACGGCATATACGTAAATTTTCATCCAATCCCAAAGCTTTGCACAGTCACGTCAACAGTCTTCGACAAGTCTAGCACGGTGTCACTGCACTGACAACCCCCACAGGGCTCACAAAATCAGTGAACGAGGCAGCAGAAGTCCTGTGCCAGCAGTACGCATCCACATTCTCCGTTTCATCAATGCACACAACGATAGTACCTTCTTCGGTCTCACCCCCAACTCCGCTGAAGACTGTTCACTCCGAAGAAGGTCCTGGCGAAACGCAAATCCCTGCGGCTAACGGCCTCTCCTGGCGCTGATGGTTTCCACCCACGGCTCTTGCGAGCGTGCGCTGCAGCTCTAGCTTTACCCCTATCGTAGCTGTTCACCCACTTCTTCGCGCAAGGCAAAGTTCCCAATGATTGGAAATGTGGGACTATTACACCAATCTACAAAGGCGGTACTCGCAAAGACCCGGCCGATTACCGACCGACAACTCTCCTCTCTACGATCACCAAAATGATGGAATCGATCGTCGCAGACGCGTTAATTGACCATATGGAGGCCCAGAAACTGCTCTCCGATTGCCAGCAGGGCTTCCGGCAGCAACGGTCGTGCCTGAGTAACCTGCTTCCGCGTAGGGGTGGGCGTCCTCGCGGTATACGCAGCCCGCGCGCGACTGGTGGTGGTCGCGCGGCAGCGAAGCGCCGTTACGGCGTACAGCTGACACATTATTATTATTATTATTATTATTATTATTATTATTATTATTATTATTATAAGTAACCTGCTACTTGCCAGGGATGGACGACTTCTGCCGACTCTGGCCTAGAAACGCATGTTATATTCTTGGATTTCGCCAAAGCCTTCGACAAGGTCGACCACAACATTCTACTACAGTAACTGTTGTCTTACGGCGTTTCAGGCGTCTTGATAGACTGGATCCGGAACTACTTTCAAAACTGTACCGTCCAAGTACGCGTCGACGGAGCGTTGTCTCTCCGCATCCCTGCCACAAGCAGAGTTTCACAGAGGTCTGTTCTCGGACCGAACTCTTCCTAGCCTTCATTGATGACGTCACACCGCAAGTGGTTTGCGCTGCTGCTATATGCGGATGACGCGAAACTGTGGCGCACAATTAACCTTCCGGACGATGCCCATGCACTTCAGACGGATCTCGACCGTCTACATCAGTGATCCATAGAAAATAACCTTCCATTTAACGCTTCGAAATGTTGCGTCCTTCCTACTCTCCCTTCCGCTTTTCCTCCTATATATTACCTTGGAGCGTCTATCCTCTAGATCTCTTCAGCCGAAAGAGACTTGTGTATCATTACGCAGACGAGTCTTTCCGTATCCGCTTCCTGCCGGAAAGCAGCTGCTGCTGCTAACCGCATGGTGGGATTGCTGAAACGAGCCTTCGGTAAAATTGACCCTAACAACTTTCTCCTCCTCTTACTCAACGCTTTTCTTCTAACCTACTTGGAGTTTTGCTATTCGGGCTTGGAGCCCCTGGTTGTTGAAGGACTAACGTATACTTGAAGCCCCACAATGTCGAGCAACATAACTGGTCCAAAATCTCAAGCATCCAGATTAACCACAACGACTTCACTAGATGGGCCTCTACTCGCTTAAGTACCGACATCTGCGGGGCAACCTGATCCTTGTATTTATGATCTTACATAAACCCTGGACATCCCTGTCGCCATCTAGTCACACTGCACCAATCGTGCTCCCACCTACGTGGCCATCCAGTGAGGCTCACACATCAGCACAGTCGGCTGAACTGCAGACGACACTACTTCACTTTGCGAATCTGCCGACCGTGGAATGCTCCGCCTGCCGATTTAGTCTTGGCACACACTGTGGCGGATTTTAAGACCCGCCTGGATTGTCATCTGGCCGAGCTACACTGCGATATTCCCTGACATAACTGTCTTCTACTTGATGGAGTTTCTTTCCTTTGTTTACTTAAACCTAATTCCTTTCCACAGCCGTTTCGGAGAGTGCGATGGGATGTCAAGCTTTGAGCCGGCGTGCATTCTGTTTAAATGCCGCATATGCCCGATGAAGACACGGCTAATACGCGAGTCCAACCCGCCATAAGGTTGCTTGGCCTTTCATCAGACCAGACCCGAACTCTTTTGACCTTATGGGTCATGTAAAGCTCGAGCTTTTATTCTCATCAAATACAATATTCCAATGTGTAATATGAGCTTGACAATGCCCACCTTCCGGGCACTTGGAAGACATGCGGTCTCAAAAGAAAGGCAGAAGACTTGACAGGAGCGGAAATGTGTTCGGCCACAGTTTTGAGAAACAGAGGGTGTAGGCCATCAGACAGGGCCAAAAAACGGATCTAAATAAAACAGAAGTTTTAAAATAATGTTAATATCTACGTGTTCCAACAAGGAGAGAGAAGAGGGCACAACGCTGACAGAGTAAGGCGATTCTTTCGAGTAGGCAAAAGAAATTGCTGTGCAAGGAGAGTGGCTTTGCGTCGTCTTCGTAGACTAGGGCCGCATACTTACAGGGATCTAAGGCAGGGGTGCCACTGTCAGCTCTGGTGCTAAGTTCGAGGTACGAGAACAGGGTTTAGGGGTTCGTTCTAGAGATCGCAGCAAGGAACAATTCATGTTGCTGGCACTTCTCGCGTTTTTAGGGTATACGCATTTCCGACCGTTTTGTATTGCGAATAATCAAGCCCCACTTGCATAAGCTTAAAAATGTCCCAAAGTTTGCGCCTTTTATTTATTAGACATCTCAGCTCCCTCTACCAGTACTGCAGAGCTCTGGGTTGACGAGTATTTTTTCGTGCTACCACTGGTTTACGTCGTTTATCATTTCCCCATGGCTTTCAAATGTGTTTCTTGTAGTAAGGGTGTCACTCACCGATTGAAGGCCGTACAGTGCTCTTTGTAATGGTTGGATTCACGCTGC